GAATATTGGGGCATCGGAGTAAGAATGCATTCATATTAATTGGGTAGTACGCGAAAGAGGTTTCATATGCAGTGTTTGATGTTATGCACCGTATCTGGGTTTGTATGAGATTGGCAGTAGTGTTATGATTAGCCACGTCGTGTCGTGCAGACATTTGTTTCAGATATACCCTATTCTAAACGAGTAACACATCCATGCGAACATGTTCACAGTAGCGAGGATACTCTCACAATCCTGTTACAACCGAGACTGAACGGAACAAGTGCTTGTTGGTTTCTAGGGTTTGCTAGGTTGGTCTTTTGAGGTGGTTAGGTTTTCACCTCACGGCTAACTTCCTCACCATCCAGACCCGCGCATCGTTCGTAGACGATGGCTTCAAAGCGCCACTATACCATAGGTGCGAGTGGGGTGACGTAGGAGGTTGACGTATGATACAAAGAGGCGATAGCGTGACGAGACGTATGAGAACACCACGCGTTGCACTAGGAGTAAAGGAAGAGAGGACCGGGAATGGAAACAGAGTGTTAGTCAATCAAGTGCTTATAGATTGTAGTGCATGTAGCGGAGAGCGTGCCTGACAGATCGGTAGATATGGTGGGACGTGATGGGTAGTCGGGGAACGGCCTTATGGTAATGTCGGGGGCGTAGATTAAAACTAATGTCAGGGAACAGGTGTGGGGCATGTGGCCACGAGCTTGAGTCGGACAACTTACTGAGGATCCATCTGCACCGCAATGACAAGTGCAGGGACACGCTGCTCGAGAGGTTGGAGAGTCGGGCAGTGGAGGCGTTGGCGGAGGCGTTGGCCGCGGTTCAGAATGGCCCGCAACATCCCGATAGTGAGTCTGCCCCGGGTAGCCCGCACTCTGCGGACTCGCTGTTCCAATATCTGAGAGAGTCACCTGAACATGCAGACCGGGTGCGCGGGTATGTGTCGTCGTCGGACGATGGATCCGTTTCCACAGTTGGCGAGCTGTTCAATACACTGAATGAGCTGATATGTCAGACAGAGAAATAAATCGGATTTTGCACATCTTCAACCACCCGGGGTACGATCCTGCAGCGGTTCGTCGCTGGCAGAACGTCGCGGACGTGAGGCGGTATGGGGATGAACACGCTCCGAACGACATGGTGCCGTGGGTGAAGGCTGAGATTGAGGTGCAGGGGCTCGGAGGAAGGTCGCAAATGCTGGAACTGCTGTACAAGGACACCAAGCTGGTGAGCATGTGGTATTTTATGCGCAATATTTCCTGCCACACTAACTGAGTCAATGATGCGGTTCTAACACTCTCGTCATTGCCAATGCTTGGGCAGATAGCTCAAAAAATCGTAAAGACATATGTAAATGTGAAGGGGTTTGTCAAAAGGCCGCGGAGAGATCCAAAGGATACGGACGACACGCGACATTTTAGTACGCCCGACACAGGGACTTGGCTGGAAGAGGCGCTGGCAAGTAACCAGCTGTGTTCACAGGCCTCTCACGAGGCAACGGCAAGAGTGGGACTGACATTTTCGATAATTCTTTTATATTGACAGGCGGAACTACCGGAGGAGGATTCAATGGTGCTTGGTGTCATATCGTACAGTGACAGCACGTACGCGTCGGGGAACGGACGCTTGCAGGCTTGGCCAATGCTGATGGGTTTGGTCAATGTACCAGAGCAGTTAAGATGGCGAGAGCCAGGTCACACTCTGGTGGGGGTGCTCCCTTTCCCGCCCGAGTGGGCGTCCGCGACAGAGAAGAGTCGAGTGTACCAAGAGGCGTGTCGCGTCGTGATGGGTCCGTTGATGCGAGAGAGCCGAGAGTAAGTGTTCTAAATGCATGTTGTTAGCCGTACGATGCGATGGGGTTCATGGTCGGCATCTGACGGGCAACAATCCGTTACCATGTGCATGCAGTGGTCCGTTACGATCCTTCGATGTGTCGGATGGGCGTGGAGGTGTGGTGAAGGCATATCCATGCCTATATGCATTTGTCGGCGACTATCTCGAAGGGTGCTGGGCCACAGCAACGATGCAACAAGCATCACACAGACCGTGCTCGAGCTGCTACATCAAGAGGAAGCACCTCCATGACTTGACAAAAGAGTTCATTGTGCGCACTGTGAAGAGGGAGCGGCAAGCGGCGGCGGAGATACTGAGCGCTCGAACGTTGGATGACGTTGCAGCGGCCCAAGCCAGGTGGTCCACGCATCCGATCACAGCACGCGGGCACCGTTCCTGTGTCGCATATTGTACTTTTTGAACCGAGAACTGGCGTGGCACACGAGAGGTGTGCATCGCGCTGAGCGTTGGGTTTGACTGACACTACCATCCGATGTACAGAGCATGTTGGAGCGGTGGAACTTCTTGGAGACGAAGTGGGGCAACGTCTTCTTGGCATGCGTGGGTGACATATTACATGTACTCGACTCATGGGTGCCGGTACATATGGCCACGTGTTTTATGGAGGGGAAGACCAAACCCGAAATCAGAGTGTTTGATCAGTTAGTACCCGCATGTTCCTTCTCCTTGACTCTTTGCGGTACAACGCTTGAGGATGTGTTAACGAGCACATGGGCGGTGCGTTGCATTTGTGTGCCTTGTGCCTGGTATAGCCGTGAGTTTGGAGTGAAGGGCGACACAAGGAGTGTCCTAGGGCGCATCCCGGGTGGCTCGACCTTTTTCCGCAGTGGGGCCAATTACGCAGCTTTCGAGTATGGCGTCATGATGCAGATTTTCCCGATTGTCATTGCTGACCTGCGCGTGGGGCGCTCTGCGGAGGGCCAAACGAGATGCGGAGGTCCATGCGTTTCGATACTACGCGGTGTTTTACAAGTCACTGCTGGCCGTGACCAAACACACGATGGTCACAATCGCTATCGCCGGGCAGCATGGCATCTCGTGAGTACACATGCAGGCCGTGTCCATTCGTACTCTCCATGGCCATCTCGATCCATGGTGTGATGGAACAATCTGCTAACGACGATGAGCTTGCTTGTATGTGTAGGCTGGTAGCTGCACTGCAAGCGGCTTTCCCGAAGCAGAAGTCGAATTGGAACTTCGTGAAGCTCCACGAAGTCGTGCACATCATCGACGGCATAGCCATGAGGGGTTTGCCGCACGAATATTCGACGGAGCTGTGGGAGCATACACACAAGGTCACCGTGAAAGGCCCTGTGCGCGGCAGCAACTGGAAGGACATGCCACGGAGAATTGTCGAGGAGGAGACGTAGCGTGAGATCACACGGGAGATAGCGGCGTTGTCGGGCGGTGGAAGAACATACCGTATACTCCCGGACAAAACACCCCCCCATAATTGTACACCCCCGGGTAGCTTGTGCGGGGTGGGTGTTATGATACACCTCGTTTCTACTATACCCCCCTTTTTGGCTGATTTTCTATAACACCCCCCTTTTCTTACGGATTCATTATTATAGTCGTTAACGAGTAGCTGCAATACGGAAGAATATCGTGTGAATTTCTCCCTCAATGAAATTTCGCGGTACATTCAAAGGCAATCTGCCGAGATTTGCCCCCTCCCACTATTTCTCTGTTGCCACGTGCAGGTGAATCTTCCGTTGCAAGTGGCAAGAGAGGTGTCACATGGCATTTTCGTGAGGGCGATGAAGTTCGAGGCCGAAACTGACATTCGCACCTCAGGCAGTGATGCTAAAACGACCAGCAAAACACCCACATTGACTAATTAAAAAAACACTAACACTAAAATATGCCATGTAAAGACCCGTGTATTATGTATTTTTTTCCTATGAGGAGACCCCCCCCATTTTTTCCCTGTATTTTTAGCTATACCCTAGGGTGTTATGTCCGGGAGAATACGGTACTACACGGCCCTGCGAGAGGTACAGAATGCGTTATCGTGTAGTATAAAGTGGTACCGTACTTGGGGAAGGTACACATGGAATTGTCGTATTCGATAGTTGTCACGAAACAGTTTCCTCCCATGCGTGCCCACAATCCACCACTTCGGCTGTGCGCAACATCAAGCCCGCGCTGACCCGCACCAGCAAGGCCATGTGTCTCATGACGGCCGACGATCCACTGCGCATGTTGCACAGAGAGACGGTGGGAAGCGAGTTTGACAACAGCCGCGGACGGTCTTCAGACAGCTAGAGTGTTGGTGAGATATCTTGCTATGTCGAAAACGATGTGTCAGGGCTTCATGTTTGAAAAATGGTGGTGCACTATGTGTAGCCGTGGTATGTAACTGAAGGCGTCGGTACAATGTGATGTTCCACCTAATTACCCGCCCATTCAATGCAGGCGCACTCCGCAGTGGCCATTCCTAGCACGAAAGGGGGGTACCGTACTTGGCACCGAAGGCGATGCTCGTGAAGGTAAGCCCGAAGGAGAACTGGTTCTCCAACATTGCGATCCCGGGGGAGAGGGAGGAGGGAGAGGAAGATGAGTGGTGGTATGCGCGGTGCCTCTGTATTTTTAGCGCGGTGAACGGCAGCGGGGAGGAGGGAGCATACGTGTTCGTGAAGTATTACGAGGAGGAGGGGGTGTGTCCGCAGACGCTATGCCCCCAGCTGGTGCCTGGCAGGAAGCCAGCCACGCACGGGATCATTGAAGTTGCATCGATGAGTGTATTGTCCACGAGTGCTGCTACTCAATAGGTTTGCGCTGATCGACTGAACAATCTTTAACTCTTGCAAAGTGGTCACACCTATACATCAAAGGTAAACCCACGGTGAGACTGAGGTGGGATATGGCCGAAGACAAGTTGTAATAGCCACGAAAAAGTTACAATTGTCACGCCAGAGTTGCGTCACAGCAACTGGCGATTTGTTGCTGCAAAGTCACTTTGGCCACCCTTCTCTGAATGTGCGCGCCGAAGGTTTCCTGAAGCTTTTCCGCAGGAAAAGCTACCGTGTACATTTTAGGCCCACAAGGAATTTCGCGATGCGTGTGCCTCTGCTGCACTGCTGCGCGCACCACGTGGCATGTGCGATGGTGCGCGCTTCGGCTTCAGTTCTCTGAGGGCCATGCTAAGCGCCTCAGCCAGTTTCCAGTGCCACGTCATCTTTGCGCGGCTCTAGCGCCGTGCGGCACACGGGGCAGGTGGTGTGCGAGAGGAGCCAGCAATCGATGCACGCCACGTGGAAGCGGTGCGCGCACGGCAGCAGGCACCGCAGCTGCTCCCCGTCCGAGAAGTCGCTCAGACACACCGCGCACTCCGTCGCACCAACCTCCTCGCACTCCGTCGCACACCCCCCGTCGCACGCCGTCGCACCCCGCTCGTCGCACTCTGCGCTGCTCTCTGTTCCTTCCCCGCCTGCCACGCCAGGCACCATCGTCTCAGTCCTTTCCGATCCTCCCGTCGGCATTACCATCTTCTCCGTGCTCTCTGCGCCTGTGCCCACTGCTGCGCCTACTGCTGCGCCTTGCCTTTGTTCCACTGGTGACTCTACCCGTAAGGATCCCTCGCGTCGTTCCGCTTTTCCTGCCAGCCCGTTCTCTGTGATATCAGTAACCGAGTTAACGAGCGTTTGGTTTTCGCTAAGTCGAGCCGCAGGCGCTTCATCCCGCGGCAGCGCGTACCGCACGGGCTGATACCTCGCAGCGCTGCTGCCGCGCCTCTCCTTGCCGCGCTCCCCCTTGCAACCGACGCCGGCCCTTCCGCTGCTGCTGCCCCCCGCGAGCCCTCGAAAGGTTACCACGGGGAATGTCGCCAACGTCGCAGGATCTATTCCGCGACTCTTCTCGTCGCCGTGCGACGTCGCCGTGCGACTAGCGGCAAGCCCATCGGGGAGGTCCGCGTCGTGGATGAGAATAACGAGGAGGCTACTAGGAAGGACGGAGGCGAGGACGCGGGGGCAGCGCAGCACGAGGGAGACGAGGAGGCCGACGGCGAAGAAGGCGAGCATGCACGCCGCCGTGCCCGCGATGAACGGCGCCAACCCCGCCACGTCCACACCGCCGTAGCTTGTAGGGGCCGACACGCTGGGCGGCACGCTGGCCGGCAGCGCTGGCGGCGAGAGGGATTGGGTCGGCGAAGGTGGTTGCCCGGCCAGGGGGGGTTGCAGCGAGGGTGGTTTCGAGGGCACTTGGGGGTGTGGGGGATGGTGCGAGGGATGAGGAGGTCGGTGAGGTTGCGTCAGAGGCGGCGACAGGGGCGGGGCGACGAGGGACGAGAGGAAGCGTGCCATGATGCATACGTAAGCTTGATTGAAAGAGGTTTTTTGCATACTAGGTTAATGTTGGTAGTAGTTGGTTTATGAACGGATGTTGGAGGGCAACTAGCGGCAATCACACATCGCTGCTTGTGGTGGGCTTGGACTGCCTTGGTGCCTGGCTGCCTACCTGCCTGTGATGCCCAAGTTGCCAGCATTGCACCAAGTGCTGCCAGGCAGCCGAATCGCATCGAGTGCGAATGTGGGAAGAAAATGTGGCGCGAAACCTTCATCACAACGCGCTATCCTCGATTGCGATAGCGACTCGAGAAATGGTGAAAGTTTGTCCTAGTCCCGCTATGATCAAGCTTCCAAAACAGAAGATTTTGAATCCTAGTGGTGTATATTTATATAATATCTAGAAGATGATGCTGGCATTATTGAGTTTCATGCGCCAACATAATCTCATCAATTTCAGTACGCATCCTGAACCAAACACTTGGCCCTGCTTCTCTCCGGATTTCGCGCTACGCACAGTGTGGCGGATTAGCGGGACGAGTTTACCCGCCTTTTCTAACCTCCGTCATCCGCCGCCTCCACTTTCTCTCATCTCACCGTCGCAACCACATGCCACCATGCGTTGCCATTCACTGCCCCCCAGCGGCACGCGGCATTGGCGCCTATTGCCGCCCGACAAGCACCGCCAGCGCCCAACATTTTGAGCCACCTCCCACGCTGTGCCGCCCGTCGTTCTCTCGAGCCTGCAAACCCGCGGGGATGCGGGCACGGTCCCCTTCGTGCGCCGCTTCTCGCTGGAAGGCAGTCCGCTTGGGGCAGGTCAGGCGCGGTAGCACGCGCAGGCAGTGCGCGCCGCGCGTGCAGGCGGAGGAGGCGGCGGAGAGAGCAAGTGAGTGGTGGAGAAAGAGAGAGGCGGAGACACGTGAGGCGGAGAGGCGTGAGAAGCAGTGGCGTGAGAAGGAGAGACGTGAGAAGGAGAGGCGTGATTTTAGGCTTGTGACTCCCTGCTAAGTGCGATGCATCTCCCTGCTAAGTGCGATGCATCTCCCTGCTAAGTGCTATGCATCTCCCTGCTAAGTGCGATGCATCTCCCTGCTAAGTGCGATGCATCTCCCTGCTAAGTGCGATGCATCTCCCTGCATGTGCGTGTGCCCGCCACACGACAGCAGTGGCAGAGGCGGATCCATTGGAGCAGTTTGTGCGCATCGACCACGGCAGGCAGTCGCGCACCGGCATGCCCGAGGTCAGCTGATGCCCGCCAGGTAAGGTGATGCCCGCCGGGTAAGGTGATGCCCGCCGGGTAAGGTGATGCCTGCCAGGTAAGGTGATGCCTGCCCGGGTCAGGTAGTGACAGTCACTTGACCAACAGCTGACAGTCGCGTGACCAACAGCTGGCAGTCGCTTGACCAACAGCTGACAGTCGCTTGACCACTTGCATTCGCTTCTTGCTTGCTGCTCCCACCACCCACCAAAGCGCACTGCCGCTCCCCTTCTCGCTAACCCTCACAGCCTTCCGCCCAGTTCCCACTTGCTCACACAATCGCCCTCGTTCCCTCTCTACGCGTCACTTCTCCCTTCCCTCGTCCCCAACCGCCACAGCTGGTCCCCTGGACGGCAGGTGTACGGGCAAGGCAAGACGGCGCAGCAGATAACCGCCGTCCTCACTGGTCGTCCCACCAGCTCCATACTTCCTCACACAACCTCCCTCTTCCCCTCCCCTCCCTTCCTTCCCCTCCTCCCTTCCCTCGTCCCCACGCCTCCACACCCTACCCCCTGGTGGCAGGTGGTGTACGGGCAGGGCAAGACGGCGCAGCAGATGGCCGCCATCCTCACGGCCATGGCAGACAGGGCCACCCAGGCGGGCGATCAAGGACGCAGCCGGAGGGCTGTCATGGCCACCAGGGTTGATCCCGAGGCTGCACAGCAGGTGCGGAGGGATGTTTAGGTGCGGTGGGGTGTTTAGATGCGGTGGGGTGTTTAGGTGCGGTGGGATGTTTAGGTGCTGTGGGGTGTTTAGGTGCGGTGGGGTGTTTAGGTGCGGTGGGGTGTTTAGGTGTGGTGGGGTGTTTAGGTGCGGTGGGGTGTTTAGGTGCGGTGGGGTGTTTAGGTGCGGTGGGGTGTTTAGGTGCGGTGGGATATTTAGGTGTGGTGGGATGTTTAGGTGTGGTGGGATGTTTAGGTGTGGTGGGATGTTTAGGTGTGGTGGTGGGTGGGTTTTGGAGTGCGAAATGCAGCATGGTGGGGGGCTATGAGGCCTCAAAGCCCTTCACAACTCCCCTCCATGCCCGCAAGCGGGCAAGGGCAGCGCGGTGCACTGGACCGTGCCCCCTGCCTGGCTTTCCTCGCCCTATCGCCTGCTCTGCATGCTGCAATGCTGCAGCACGCTCCTGCTCATCCTGTGCCTTAGCAAGTCGTGCCTTCTGCCATGTTGCCTGCCCCCCACCTGCGCCCCACCTGCGCCCCACCTGCCCCCCACCTGCACCCCGCATGTGCTGCCCCCCACCAGGTGTGTGCGCTGCTGCCCTCCGCCATCTACCACCCTCTGGCCCGCGTGCTGCACCTGCCGCTGCCCCTGCCGCCCACAGCAGGCGCAGAGGCGAGTGAGGCCGGCGAGAGTGGCGCACCATGTGGTTCAGGCAGTGCTGCTGCTGACAGCACTGGTGACAGTGGTGGTGGGAGAGAGGGGGCGAGCGGGCATGTGATGGTGGTGACTGCCGGCACCACTGACCTTCCTGTGGCTGAGGTGCGGTGAGTGGACCAGTGTGGGGCGGAGTGTTGGGAGGAAGTTAGGGAAAAGTGAGGACAGAAGTGAGGAGAGAAGAGAGGACAGAGGTGAGGAGAGAAGAGAGGACAGAAGTGAGGAGAGAAGAGAGGACAGAAGTGAGGAGAGAAGAGAGGTGGAAGGTGAGTGGAGAAGCGTGGGGAGGAGTAAGAAATGCACGGGCTGTCATGGTTTCGAGTGATGCGTTTTCCTCTGGTTTCCTCGCCCGCCAGCAGCTCCCACCAACCGCATGCCTGCATGCCCTTATGCTCACGTGCAGGAGGCGAGGGTGACTCTGGAGCTCATGGGTGTGCCGGTGGGTCTCATCGCTGACGTGGGTGTGGCGGGGCTGCACCGCGTCATCACCCAGGCATGTCATGCACGCACCACCTCTGCGCTCTGCTGCGCTCTGCTGTTCTCTGCTGCGCTCTGCTGCTCTCTGCTGCGCTCTGCTGCTCTCTGCTGCTCTCTGCTGCGCTCTGCTGCGCTCTGCTGCGCTCTGCTGCGCTCTGCTGCTCTCTGCTGCTCTCTGCTGCTCTCTGCTGCTCTCTGCTGCTCTCTGCTGCTCTCTGCTGCTCTCTGCTGCTCTCTGCTGCTCTCTGCTGCTCTCTGCTGCTCTCTGCTACTCTCTGCTGCTCTCTGCTACTCTCTGCTGCTCTCTGCTGCTCTCTGCTGCTCTCTGCTGCTCTCTGCTGCTCTCTGCTGCCCTCTGCTGCTCTCTGCTGCTCTCTGCTGCTCTCTGCTGCTCTCTGCTGCTCTCTGCTGCTCTCTGCTGCGCTCTGCTGCGCTCTGCTGCTCTCTGCTGCCCTCTGCTGCTCTCTGCTGCTCTCTGCTGCTCTCTGCTGCTCTCTGCCGCTCTCTGCCGCTCTCTGCTGCTCTCTGCTGCTCTCTGCTGCTCTCTGCTGCTCTCTGCTGCTCTCTGCTGCTCTCTGCTGCTCTCTGCTGCTCTCTGCTGCTCTCTGCTGCCCTCTGCTGCTCTCTGCTGCTCTCTGCTGCTCTCTGCTGCTCTCTGCCGCTCTCTGCCGCTCTCTGCTGCTCCCTGCTGCTCTCTGCTGCTCTCTGCTGCTCTCTGCTGCTCTCTGCTGCTCTCTGCTGCTCTCTGCTGCTCTCTGCTGCTCTCTGCTGCTCTCTGCTGCTCTCTGCTGCTCTCTGCTGCTCTCTGCTGCCCTCTGCTGCTCTCTGCTGCTCTCTGCTGCTCTCTGCTGCTCTCTGCTGCTCTCTGCTGCTCTCTGCTGCTCTCTGCTGCTCTCTGCTGCTCTCTGCTGCTCTCTGCTGCTCTCTGCTGCTCTCTGCTGCTCTCTGCTGCTCTCTGCTACTCTCTGCTGCTCTCTGCTACTCTCTGCTGCTCTCTGCTGCTCTCTGCTGCTCTCTGCTGCTCTCTGCTGCTCTCTGCTGCCCTCTGCTGCTCTCTGCTGCTCTCTGCTGCTCTCTGCTGCTCTCTGCTGCTCTCTGCTGCTCTCTGCTGCGCTCTGCTGCGCTCTGCTGCGCTCTGCTGCTCTCTGCTGCCCTCTGCTGCTCTCTGCTGCTCTCTGCTGCTCTCTGCTGCTCTCTGCCGCTCTCTGCCGCTCTCTGCTGCTCTCTGCTGCTCTCTGCTGCTCTCTGCTGCTCTCTGCTGCTCTCTGCTGCTCTCTGCTGCTCTCTGCTGCTCTCTGCTGCTCTCTGCTGCCCTCTGCTGCTCTCTGCTGCTCTCTGCTGCTCTCTGCTGCTCTCTGCCGCTCTCTGCCGCTCTCTGCTGCTCCCTGCTGCTCTCTGCTGCTCTCTGCTGCTCTCTGCTGCTCTCTGCTGCTCTCTGCTGCTCTCTGCTGCTCTCTGCTGCTCTCTGCTGCTCTCTGCTGCTCTCTGCTGCTCTCTGCTGCTCTCTGCTGCCCTCTGCTGCTCTCTGCTGCTCTCTGCTGCTCTCTGCTGCTCTCTGCTGCTCTCTGCTGCGCTCTGCTGCTCTCTGCTGCTCTCTGCTTCTCTCTGCTGCTCTCTGCTGCTCTCTGCTGCTCTCTGCTGCTCCCTGCTGCTCCGTGCTACCCTCTGCTGCTCCGTGCTACCCTCTGCTGCTCCGTGCTACCCTCTGCTGCTCCATGCTACCCTCTGCTGCTCCGTGCTACCCTCTGCTGCTCTGTGCTACCCTCTGCTGCTCCGTGCTACCCTCTGCTGCTCCGTTCCGTGCTACCCTCTGCTGCTCCGTGCTACCCTCTGCTGCTGCTACCCTGTCATGCCTATCAGACTCTGTGCTGTGCGGTGATATGCTTCCTGCCTGCCATGTGCTGCCATGCCACACGCACTCTCAACTTCACCCATGGCTTCACTTGGCCCTGCCTTCCACTGCCTAATCCCAACCTGTACGGACTGTTTCTTTCTGTTTGCCGCTTTACCTCCTGCCCATGCACGTGCATGAACACCCCATGCATGAACACCCCATGCATGAACACCCCATGCATGAACACCCCATGCATGAACACCGCATGCATGAACACCCCATGCATGAACACCGCATGCATGAACACCGCATGCATGAACACCCCATGCATGAACACCCCATGCATGAACACCCCATGCATGAACACCCCATGCAACAACACTTCATGCATGAACACCCCATGCATGAACACTGCATGCATGAACACCCCATGCATGAACACCCCATGCATGAACACCCCATGCATGAACACCCCATGCATGAACACCGCATGCATGCACACGGGCATGCATGAACACCCCATGCATGAACACCGCATGCATGCACACGGGCATGCATGAGAGCAGCTCCCCAGGATCCGGCAGGCATCGGTGGTGATAGTGGTGGCGGGCATGGATGGTGCGCTGCCAAGTGTCATCTCGGGACTGGTGGACATGCCAGTCATTGCTGTGCCCACCAGGTGCGTGCAGCTCACCTCAGCATGCACCTCAGCATGCACCTCAGCATGCATGTGTGTGGCGATAGCACCATGTCAGCACCTGGCGCCCTCTTCATACTGCATTGGAGGCTGCTCTTTCATCTGCAGCCCTTCCACCCTGCATTCTCCCTCTCACTCCCTGCATTCCCCGTCTCACTTCCTGCATTCTCTTTGCCTCTAATTCCCTGCATTTTTCTTCCCGCTCACTGCCTGTTTTCCTGCTCGCACTCGCTCCCGGCATTCCCTTTCTCTTACTGTGTGTCCCCCCTTTCTCACTCCCTGGAACCCTTTCACTCCCTGCAACCGTCTCATTCCCTGCAATCTGCCTCTCCCTCACGCCCTGCGTTCCCCAACCACGTCCCCCAGTGTGGGGTACGGAGCATCATTTGGCGGCGTGGCAGCGCTGCTGGCAGCGCTCAACGCGTGTGCACCGGGCGTCACCGTTGTCAACATTGACAACGGTTTTGGTGCCGCTGCTGCTGCTGCACGCATTCTTTTAAGGAGACAATCGTGACCTCTACTGTAAACATGCATGTAATTCCGTGTGAGTCTGTATTGAGAGCATCAGGCGTGATTGAAGCACTCCAGTCCACAACTAGCTGGTGTTGAAGTGGCAGTTCAGCACCATTCAGCTCGGCACCATTCAGTTCGGCACCATTCAGTTCGGCACCATTCAGCTCGGCACCATTCAGCTCGGCACCATTCAGCTCGACACCATTCACTTCGGCACCATTCAGTTCGGCACCATTCAGTTCGGCACCATTCAGCTCGGCACCATTCAGATCGGCTCCATTCAGCTCGGCACCATTCAGTTCGGCACCATTCAGTTCGGGAGCCTCAGGGGCGTGCCAACCCAATGGAGTGCACTGGGATTTCCAAAACTGCAACTCGTCCTTATTTTGAATGAAGTCGCTCGACATGAGGACCTTAGGGTGCATTGCATTCGTACCAGACACGATGACAGAGTTTCGGAAGACACAAAGTGACTTGGTTTGTGCCTTCCGAAGCTTGATTGTTCCGAATTTCATGACACTTTGTATCTTAGGAACATCCACATCGTGTCAGACCTCATGTCTGACACTAGATACAAATGTACTACCTTGAGAGTCAGTTTATCAACATTGAAGTGAACAATAGCTTGTGTGTAAGGAATTTTCTCAGCATTCCTTAGCGCGCCCTGCAACATCGCGTACAGCAGCAGCTGTTGTTCGCCCGTTATTGCTAACGGGGCTTCGCCGACTTCGCGCGCACTGTTTCACCAAACCTCTCACCCACTGCTGGCCCGGCCGTATCAGCCTGTCAAAATGAGGAATGATGATGCCATTGATGTTGGTTGGGGTACATATAACAAACCCTAACTTCTGTACCCCCTAAGACAAACCTCACTAAAGGCTACAACATTTGACACACCCCCATAGCCTAAGTGAGGGGTGTCTAGCAAAATAAAAAAGAGTACGGTCACAAGACCAGTCCAAAAGAAAACAAAGCTCAGGGTGGATCACAACGTCACCACACTCTCTGAGCACAAGCAACAGTGGCCACAAGGCCAGTCCAAGAGATCACAAGTATATATAGCAAGAGTACAGACGAAGCAGGCAATAAACTCAAGCCTACACATGACTAGAACCTGTATCAACAAGGCCTAACTGCACACAACACCTCTGGTGGTCACGAGGCGGAAGCGCCTTGGTGAAGATGTCTGCAGTGTTGGCCTCGGACTCCACAAACTCGAAGCGAGCCTGTCCACGTCTCTGCAACTCTCGCAGAAGAAAGTACCTGACGTGAATGTGCTTCACTCTGCTCTCCAGTCGCGGCTCACGACAGAGGAGGATCGACGCCTTGTTGTCAGTGAACAAGGTCGGTGCAGAGCTCGGCCGCTCACCAAGGTCGGCGAGTAAGAAGGTCAACCAACGCAACTCCTGTGCCGCCATGGCACCAGCGTAAATCTCAGCCTCAGCTGTAGAGGTCGAGACAGAAGAGGAGCGCGTGGAACGCCAGGAAACAGCTCCAGAACCCAGACTGAAACAGTACCCCTGAGTAGACCTGTGAGTCTCAGCGTCGTCAGCGTAAGAGGAGTCACAGTGACCAGTGAGTACGACAGACTGCTGCCCTCCAAGAACTAGCCCCACGCCTGATGTAGTCGCTAGGTACTTCGCCACCCTCACAGCTGCCGTCCAGTGAACAGGACGGTGTCTCCCTGGCGCAACAAAGCGCGCAAGGATGCTGAGAGGGAAGGCGAGGTCCGGGCGAGTACAAGTCATCAGGTACATGAGGCAACCCACAAGCTCTGCGTAGGGACCACTAGGCTCAAACGGCTCGTCAGGAAAGGGACCAGTGAGTCTGTGGTCAACAGCGAGAGGTGTGCGCTGTACGGTGGAGTGCTGAAGCCCGAACCACTGAAGGACCTGCTGCACCATGTGTGACTGTGAGAGTGTAATGGTGCGAGCGGCTCTGTCCCTGGTGATCTGCAGGCCAAGGTAGTGGCACAGCTCACCAAGATCAGTGCACGTGTGTCTCTTCTGCAGTTCGGACTTCACGTCTGCCAAAGCAACCCTGTCCGGAGTGGCGAAAACGAGGTCGTCGACGTAAACCAGAACAAAGAACGGTGTGGAGCCACGACGAACGAACAGCGACGGGTCGGTAGAAGACGGCTGGAACCCAAGGTCAGAGAGGGTAGAACGCAGAGTGTCGTGCCACTCACGAGGGGCCTGGCGAAGACCGTAAACAGGTCGCCTCAGCCTCCACTGGGTCCCAGGAGGGAAGGTGCCAGTGAAGGCCGAGGGACGACGCAACCAGACCTCCTCGTGTAGGCTGCCCTGAAGGAAAGCAGTGGAGAAGTCGAGAGAGTGTAACTCGTAGTCTCTCTGTGCTGCTACGTGTAGTAACACCCGACGAGTGGTCATCTTCGGGGTAGGTGCGAAGGTCTGAAAGAAGTCAACTCCCTCGCGCTGACTGAAACCTCTAGCCACGTAGCGCGCCTTGAAGACCGGGGGAGATCCCGGTGGCCGCTTCACCCTGTAGATCCACATGCCGTTGACTACGTTCGCCCCAGGGGGGGGAACCTCATCGACGTAGGTGCCTGTGGATCTGTAGGAGGCCATCTCTGCGTCCATGGCAGCTCTCCACTGAGAGGCCCAAGGCCCTGACACTGCCTCAGCGTAAGTGCGAGGAGTCGGAATGTCAAGGGCGTCGGGGTCACCCTCAGGGGCGAGGAGCATGGCACAGAGATGAGGGGAAGCGGCCGCCAGGAACTCTAGCTCAAACTGCCTGTCCTCTAGGGCGTCACAGCCAAGGGCAGACACACCCCCGACGGCCAGAGGACTGGTAGGAGGAGCAGCCACAAGCGTGGTGGCGTAGTCAAGGCGGCGGGTAGAGGCAAAGTCAGTAACTGCGGCAGTAAGAGCGGACACAGAGGACACAGAGGCACGAGGGTGAGTAACAAGAGAGGCGAGAACACGAGAGAGAACAGGACGGTATGTGCGGTAGTAGTCAGTGACAGGAGTAGGGAGCGACACAGTGAGGGCCGACTCAGGAGGAGACGGAAGCACAGACTGAGACGGACGAGGTGAACTAGAAAGAAGGAAGGCAGTACGAAGGTCAGTGAAGGGAACAGGAGACGAGGGACGAGCACGAGGGGAGCGACGAGTAGCCCAAGAACGAGACGGAGGAGGAGAGGACAAAGGCGGAGAACTGGGGAAAACAGCGGGGGAGGAGTCAGGAGGAGGAAACGTGGGACCGTAGACAGGAGGAGAGGCGGAGGAGGGAGGAGAAGGGGAGGGGAGACCAAGGGTCCGAAGACCCGAGACAGGAGGAGGAAGTGGCTGCTGCTGCTGCTGCTGCGACTGCTGCTGCTGCGGAAGCGGCTGCTGCTGGGACTGCTGCTCCTGCGGGTCCAGCTGCTGCTGCTGCTGCTCCTGCGGCTCCAGCTGCTGCTGCTGCTCCTCCAGCCGCTGTAACTCCCTCTCCTCTCTCTCCAACGCCAGCTGCTCGTCACGGGCACGGCGAACACGAGCCTGGTGCCTAGTCGGGTAGGGGTGGGGGGGCGGAGTAGTGTCCGAAGCAGCGGTAGCTCCAGAGTCCACCCCCGAAGAACCAGGCGCACCACCCCCAGAGGCAGCACTAACACCAGCTCCAGACCCAGGCTCGCCAGAACCCGAAGGAGGCGCACTCTCACCCCCAGTGTCCGCGCGACCAGCACCAGCTCCCGGACGACAAGAGTCCTCTGCACCCACCGGGTCAGCTCCAACTCCAGAACCAGAAACTCCAGCTCCAACTCCAGCTCCAACCCCAGCACCCCCAGAACCAGAAACTCCAGTGCCAACTCCAGCTCCAACTTCAGCTCCAACTCCACCACCCCCAGAACCAGAAACCGGTACAGGAATAGGCGCAGCACCAACCTCTCGAGAGCTAGCACCTGCGGCACGCTGCGAGGAGGACTGTGGGGAGGGAGGCTGTACCGGAGAGGCTACCGAAGGAGGAGGGGTAGCCTGGGACACACCCGACGGGGCTGGACCAGGGGGGGGAGGCTGTACCGGGGGAACAGGAGGGGGAGCGGCAGTCAGGAAGAGGGGGGGAGGAGGAACCTGGAGACCTCGACTGGGGTACCTGACGTAGTACGGAGTGGACTCCTCGAAACGGACGTCACGGGAGTCAAAGAACCGGTGAGAGGGAGGGTGGTAAAAGGTGAAGTCAGAGGAGTCCTCAGGGAAACCAAGGAAGACACAGGGGACGGCACGAGGCGAGAGCTTGTCCGCGGAGGTGTCGCGGACAAGAGCCAAGCACCCCCAGACACGAAACCGCGACGCAACACCAGGGGACCCTGTCCAAAGACTGGTCGGTGAAACCTCTGGTCGAGAGACACGTGGCCAGAGGTTCAGCTGGTGCGCGGCGTACCTGACTGCGTAGGGCCACAGAAAATGGGGGGCACATGCGTGAGTCAGGGAGGTGCGGGCGATCTCCATGACCAGGCCTATGCGGCGCTCAGCAACCCCATTCTGCTGTGGGGACTCTGGAAGCGTCCAGGACTGACGAATGCCCTGCTCGCGACAGAATCCAGCGAGAATGCCGGAGCGAAACTCACCCCCACGGTCGGAGTGGAGGCAGCTGACACGACGACCACGAGTGTCCTCAGTGGTGAGCAACCACCTGATCAGCGTAGAAGTCACCTCAGACTTCTTCGCCAGAGGGAACACTGTGGTGTAGTGGGAGAAGTCGTCAACGACCACCAGAAAGTAGCGCTCACGCTCAGGGCCTAGACGAGGGGCGGGGCCCCAGACGTCCAAGTGAAGCGTCTCAAAAGGCTCGGTGGCCGGACGAAGGGAGGAGGAGTGAGGGGCGGCGCGCAGCCGACCCTCGACGCAGGGACCACACGGCGGCGCAAGCGAAGGCGGCAGCGACGGCAAGACACGTGGGAGGCCTAGGACAAGACGCTGACTAGACATAGCGCGCAGACGAGGAAGGGACGGGTGCCCCATCCGGTGGTGCCACAGAACGGTGGGGTGGGCAAGCGACCGG